TTGGAAATTGGACTGTCCTTGAGGCTTTTGCATTGGTGGATTAAGAGCTGGACTATGCCACGAAAAATTTGGATGATTTCGCCATCCCGGATTATAAGTTTGCRAAAATGGTCCAGTCTTGTTGACATAATTTACATGCTCCGGATTTCCAGGACATTGCTCAAAAGAGTGACCTTCACCACAATACACGCATTGCACTGATTGAACATTGGAATTAAAGGTATTAACATCAGATTGCACATGTGGGCTAGATGTTAAATTTGAAATTAGCTTAGTGATCTGAGCTGTTAATGCCGAGACAACATCTACCTCATTTATTCCAGCTGTTTTCTTCAGTAGCATTGCACGTGGGTCAGACCATTGTCCGTTATTATTGGAAATCTTTTCAAGTATGTCAAAACCTTCATTATAGGTACAAGCTGTGAAAGCTCCGCCTGCAGTAGCATCGAGCATTTGTCTAGCAACGATATTTAAACCGTTGTAAAATGTCTCTAACTGGATACAGTACGGAATGCCATGGTGAGGGCATTTTCTCAACAGCTCTTTATACCTTTCCCATGCATCAGGAACTGCTTCATCATCCAGTTGTCTAAAAGTACAAATTTCATCTCTGGATTTGGCATTCCTCGTGGGTGGAAAATACTTTTTTAAAAACTTTTCTGCCATTTCATTCCATGTAGTCACAGAGTCTGGTTGCAAAGAATTGTACCATGCTCTTGCTCGATCCCTTAGTGAAAATGGAAAAAATTTTAGTCTCAAAGCATCCTCTGAAACATCAGGGATGAGAAAAGAGTCTGTGATTTCCATGAAAGAACGCAGATGAGAATGAGGATCTTCAGAAGATAAACCAGCGTACTGGCCGTTTGTTTGAAACATTTGAAACATCAATGGTTTAAGTGAAAAATGGGTGGCACCAATGGTTGGCTTACGTATCCCTGTGTGCAGTTGAGTTAAGTTAGGAATAGCGTACGCCATAATGCCACCATTTTTAGCATTTGCAAGACGAAAGATGTTTTGAGCCTGATCCTCATATGGAATATTTGGTTCGTTTCTAAATATACCTTCTCCGTCAATAATCACATTTTCAGCCATCGTTTCAGAGTTTAAAGTTCGGAGAGCTCTTTGCACTCTTCTTCGTTGTCTAAAAGTTTGTTCAATATTCGGATCAAGTGGAAAAAATTCACCGTGCGACAGCTTTGGCATGCACGGTGCGTTCACAAAAAGATGGTAGAAAAACTAACTTTTATAAACTTTACTTTAAAAGAAAAACTTCAGCGTACTATCCCCGGCAGCGGTGCCAAAAACTTGTTCGTCGGTTTATTCAACCTTAGATTCCAACACAAAAATAGAACTCGGCGCAAGTATACACCTCGAACTACTGTCGTCTTGTAACAAGTAATAATGGTAAAAAAATACCAGATATCGTTCCCACAGAGATAGCTTGTAAAGTTATTTCGAAAGTCCAGTTTATAAAAATTAATTTCAGATGGCAAATCGAGGGACTTGATTTATCTAAAATGGGGAGGGTTGATTAACAACTAAGATAATATCAGTCTTAAGAAGAAGCACATGGTGCAACAGTTGATTAAGACATTAAACAAATGATTCAGCAAAAAGGTGACATAGCATTTTTGTCACGATTATCTAAAATCAATAAATGATTTTATATAACTATAACAGTATCAACTATCGGGTCAGACGGCCTCCCA